ATAGATAGTAGCGACAGAGGGCTCCATAAAAGAAGAGATATTAAATCTATACGAGGCTACTTGTGTCTTGAAAAAGCTTGTAGCCATTATCGCTACTTGAACTTTCTCAGCCAGGGCGCTTGTTAATATTGATATCGAGCATTTTTTCTCTTCTTCTTCTCCTCCTCCTCATTCTTATCTCTCACTCTCCCGAGTCCTTGTCACGCTCCGAGTACTCTCGCTCACTCGCTCAAGAAGAATACTTAAAAAGGCGAGCGAGCGAGCGCGAGAGCACAATTTGAAACTCCATAATTATTAATGTATATTTGAGTAACACAGATAGAAAAAAAAAAGAACCGAACGATTTCAGAAACTTTGAAAATTCCGCAAAGTCTAGTTGACGCGCGAACGAACGTGATTTCCAATAATTTACGCAATATTCGCATCTCCAGGTGTGTAACTCTCTTCGCGCATGCCGACGAATAGTTTCGAACGCGTTATATACAATCTCTAAACGTTCGGGGCCATTCGCTATATACACACACGCCGTTATTATAGTTATGTGTATTTGGATTTTCGTGGAAATATTTCACCTCGCCGAATGGAGCGACACGCCTCGAGCGAGTCAAGCCTTCATTAGGCCGGCATTATTACCAGCCAACGGCGCGACTGCATTTTTGCTGAATGGCGCCCGCCCGACGTGAGTACGTAAACGCATGCTCTGCAACAAGGACGAAACAAAGATACCGAAAGGGTCCCTCTCTCTCTCAACTGTTCAATGGTATACACACTTCTCAATAGAGAGCCCGAGAGCTGCCTGTGTATTGCAACACAGCACAGCGGGAAAAGAGGGGGGGGGGGGTGTGGGTGGGTGGACTCGTCGAGTGTGTTTTCTGCAGTACGTGCGCGCACACACTTGAGCATTTTCGTCACGAAATTTTCCCAAAGCATATTATTGAGTGTTCCGACTCATGTTGAGAATACAGACGAGAAGCTCGCTCGCTCGCGGCCCGGGTGAAAGAAAGAAAGAAAGAGAGAGAGAAAGAAAGAAAGAAAAGAGGGTTGGAGGATGAGGAGGGCTGCAGCAGCAGCAGTAGCAGCAGCGAGTACACCGAACTCGGGCGTTCTCGCTGCAAGTGCCGTTATCGAGTGACGGACCGTCGATGCGCCGCCGCCGCCGCCGCCACCGCCACGGCCTTTATAGGGGAGTAGGTGCGAGAAAGAGAGCTAAACGGTAAATTACTCACGGCACGTGACCAGCATAGCCGCTAATGCTGCAAAATGTCGCAGCTGCCGTCGAGTCGACGGCAATGTACTCTTACATATATACCGCGACGTCCTAACACACCTACGCATGCACACACACACACACATACACAATAGCAATGGCAGAAGTATGTAATGTACCCAACTCTAGCTTTCAGCTTTGAGTTTTCTATATATACATTATTTTATACATGCACTGCTACTCCCCTTTTGGCTGACTGGCCGCATTGACTCGGAAAGTTGACGGTTTATTTTCTCTCTCCCTCTCTCGCGGTATACTCTGTTGGTGAATGTAATAGAGCCTCGAGCCGAATATCGAAGGTATCGCGCTTTTCTTGACTCACGCTGTATAAAACAGTCATTTGATTTTGCAAACTGTATACGCGAGGACGAATGTCGCAGAATGTAAACTGCAGCTCGCAACTGTCGGGGCAGAGAGAGTACGAGTGCGTATTATATGTACAAAAGTATTATCCGCCGTTAAATTTATTATTATCCGGCCTCTCTCTCTGCGCATTATGCGCGCGTCAGCTGTTCGTGTATATTCATCCCGGCCAGCAGCAGCAGCGAGATGTGTCAAAGCGTCGAGCATTATTTTGCAAGCTCGGCTGCATGCCCATGTGCGTGGGTGTGTGCATATAACGTCCACGATAGCAGCGCGGCCTCGCCACGCATACACGCGTGTTATACCAGAGCTCGAACATCGGGCCGGGGGCACTGCGCACGAGGAAGTGTCAAGCACAAAATTGACAAATCGATGAGATTTAATTCGATTCTCGCTCGAGCGTGAAATAATTACACGGCTGAAAAATTAATCACTCATCCGCGTCGTCGGGCCTCGGAGTTTTCGCACCTGCGCTGCGCCGCTGCGCTGCTCGTCTGCACTGCCTCGGACGTATTATATTATATATGCACACGAGGATCCTTGTGTCTACGCATCGGGCGTGTGCAGAAGCTTACTTTTTTTTTGACGGTGAAAAAAAAAATTGACGAGAAAATCTCGCACGATGCGTGCGCGCATTGACCGATGAAGCGGTTTTAATAAAATAATAGCCCGCTGATTGACACATACGCGTGGACGGAGAGAGAGAGAGAGAGAGAGAGAGAGCGAATCCCGCCCGAAAGTGAATGCATTAAAAATTTCGATTATATAATTGCCATTTTAACAATCGTTTGTATTCATTCACGTACCCCCGTATGGAGTTGAAATATCCTCCTTTATTCGCGCGCGCTTCGATTTTTCAGCGCGCGCGCGGCGTAACAATAATGGATCCATCACGCACGAATCTCGAAAGCTCGTTTTATGACGGGGAAAAAAGGAAAAGAAGAAGAAGAGAGCAGAAAAATCGATATATCGGTGCGAGCGCGCGAAATTCAATATTCTTATTCGAAAATTATCTGCGATCGGAATCAGTGTGTAGCTACATAAGCATTAGCCACAGCGGCAGCAGCAGCGGCTCAAGACCTTTATAAACGAATCTTGAAGCGGTACGGCGTGTCTATGTATTATGTATGTGCGCTCTGATACGTAACTACTGTACGCCGTATCGTATGGTATATATATGTAGGGGTTAATGGTGGCGGTGACGCGCGGTGCGACCTAAACCGCGCCTGTACGTATAGTAGTACACGATCCCCGCGGGCATATTTCGCGATAAGCCTTATATGCCAAGTACACGTTAGTACAGGCGCTCGCGAGCTCGGCTTCTGCGTATAACGCACACATGCATATATACAGGTGTATATAGCTCTTTCCCTTGGCAAGCGCAGAGCTATTTTTCTCCTTCTCTCTCCTTCGGGTGCAGTACGTGTTTGTGCACGTGTGTGTGTGTGTGCAGTGGCTGCTCTCGCAGTCGAGCAACCATCGAGCGCCGAGGTGAGAGCAGCAGCGCAGCCAAAGGCGCACGTGTGCAAGCTCGAGTGCGCGTCTCCATATACGTAATGCTCGAAGCGGCGGAAAAAAAGGGGCGAGCGCAAACGTGGGATAAGCTTCCATTGCCGCGCGCGCGCTTGGCGTATTTTTGAATATGCGTCGCGTCGGGAGAACAGAGAAAGAGAGAGAGAGAGAGAGAGAGATTAGTCACGTTATGCAGCGAGCTTTGGCTAGCTGGCTGCTTTTTTTGTGCGCTCGCGATACCGCACGTGAAAAATGGAAAAGCTCTTGCCTTTGTCGCGCCGCGTGCATTTCGCGGAGTGCACTTTTGCCATTTGGCGAACGAACGACGATCGCCTACCACCCCCGCTCTCTCGTCATTACTCCGATGGTCCGCGGCGCGCGCGGATCCAGTCTGCGCTACTTTTCGCTCTCGGCAGAGAAAAAAATACTTTTTCCAGTCGGGCGATTGCTTCGTTACTTTTTACCGCTCGATTCGAAACGATTACGGTTGAATTTCGAGTTCCGCGTTATTGCGTGTGATTCGCAGCGCTGCCTGATAAAAAGCAGAGCATAAATACTTGCTTTCAATGGATCGCGATGCACTTTGTGCATTAGGCACGTCTTTGATTCAACCCACGAGAGATTTAGAGCGATCGACGCGATGAAAGTACTCGTCCGAGGTTCTACAACCGTTGGCGTAACCATTGGCGTTCCGAGAATGCATCGACTCGCATGGCTCCCTCTAAGAAAAAAAATGTGCCCATTTTAAATGCCACGTGAAAATCAAAAAGACGCTCTGCCGCCGAGTGCGTCGATTCTGAAGCAGCCGCTCGTTTCGACGCTGACCAAATACAAGTAAAAACGTGAAGAACCGCACGCGTGTGGTTTATGCGAAAAATTACATCTCAGTACCGTTCGTCACGGCTCTTGCGGACTCGATTTCCCAGCTTTCGTCGAAGGTGCGACGAAGATGAGAGGAAAAATACATTACTAAAGCATCCGACGTTCAGCGATTAAATACATAATAATATGTCATGAATATTTCTCATACTTGGCTGTCCAGCAGCTGCTTGTTATCGACCGATCCGATTGGGCGATTGCGACATGGCGCGTGAAGTTGAAGTCATTGGTGCATATACTCGTAGTGCATATGTTTGTATTCATTTACTCTCATTGTTACGGATGATTCCAAAAATCAGGATCGTGATAAATTACCGAATCATTCTGCCAAGTGCGAGAGAAAAATTTTAATCAACGCAATGGGCCCCCTTCGACCGCTGTGCCTCATGGACAATTACGCTTCGGAAGCCAATACTTACCTCTAGTGGGTGCTTTATGACCTGTCCTTTGACATGTAATTTTATAAATCTTGAATACCGCCTTTACTCGTATGATGAAAAAATGCCCTATTTTGCAGAATCGAACAAACTCATTGTAAGCATATACAAGACCTATTCTCCTGAGTGGATCCGCGTAATTGATGCTGAGCGCAGCAAAGTCATACACATTCAATATTCCTAATTTTCGATGTTTTACTCTAACTGCGATAACTCATACAGAGATAAACCAATCGATCTGAAAATTTTACATATAGCATTCTTAAGGTGTTGACGGAGTACTGTATACTTTTTTAGCAACATCAGTGTATCCTAATATGCAAAAAATGCATTTTCATGCAATTTTGAGTTTTGCATCAATATTCGTGTGTAAATTTGGTAATATATATTTTGTGGGTTATTTATGGGTAATTATTTTTTGTATACATTCGATATTGCTTATTTTTGATGTTTTATTCTAATTGCGATACCTCATGCAGGGATAAACCAGTAGATCTGAAAATTTTACATAGTGTTGTTTCGGTGCTGATGGAGTGCTGTATACTTTTTTAGCGACATCCGCGTATATCCTAATATACAAAAAATGCCTTTTTATGCAATTTTGAGTTTCGCACCTCGCGACATCTCCACTTCGAAAAAACGTAATTTTTGTTTGCAATAGGTATTTAACATTGTACTTATGACAAGTATATTGTATAATTATATGTCGTGTTTTGAGTATCACTACTGAGCAAAAATGTATGATATGTTTATTTATTATATGCTAATAAATAAATACATGTTAATTTATGATATGTTAATTTATTTATTTGTCTCGATGTTTCATCATTTTGCTCGGTATTGATAGGTACGTTTTAAGATGTTTTGTATTGATCTCGTGCTTGCCTTCATGCACACTTTTGACGTGTCTGCATAAATATTTTCTATGTTTAAATTTTTTCCCGCATTAAACACAAGTGTGATCAATGTCTTCGTGCTGCGTTTTAATGTGAGTTATAAGATCCTTTTGAGAAAATGTCTTGCCGCACTTATTACAATAAGTGGTCTTATTAATGCATCAAATTTATGTGTTTTTTAAGATTACCCTTTAGTGTGAATGTCTTTCCGCACACTTCGCAAGTATGTACCACACCTTTATGCATCGCATCGATGTGAATCTTGAGATAACGTTTTTGTGTGAAAGTCTTTGCACATAGACCACACGCATGCTTAACACCATTATGTCCCTCGATATGCCTCTTGAGATCTCCTTTTTGTGTGAATGTCTTTTCACATATACCGCACGCATGTTTAACACCATTATGTCCCTCGATATGCCTCTTGAGATCTCTTTTTTGTGTGAATGTCTTTTCACATATACCACACGCATGTTTAACACCATTATGTACTCCATCGATGTGGATCTTGAGTTGAGCCTTGGTTGAGAATTTCTTTCCGCACATTTCGCAAGTACGTGCTATACCTTTATGCATCGCATCGATGTGAATTTTGAGCCTTCCTTTTTGTGTGAATGTCTTTCCACATATACCACACTCATGTTTAATACCGTTATGAATTGCATCGATGTGAATCTTGAGTGCAGCTTCGGTTAACAATTTCTTCCCGCATACTTCGCAAGTAGGTGCCATACCATTATGCATCGCATCGATGTGAATTTTGAGATAACATTTGTATGGGAAAGACTTTCCACATACACCACACGCGTGTTTAACACCATTATGTACTGAATCGATGTGGACCTTGAGATAATCTTTTCGTGCAAGTTTTTTACCGCATATATTACATGGATATTTGGTACGATTGCGTGCCTTATTAGTTTGGGTTTTGCGTTGACTATTTTGAGCAAATGTTTTTTCATTTGCATCAAATGCATCACTGAGTTCACCATCCAAATTCAATTCCTCTTTTACTTCGTCGACAATTTCTTCTTTAATTTTCTTTGGAGTCTGATAATCGCAACTATTTTTCATATGCTGCCATTGATCTGGACAGTCGTCCTCGATTTTCTTGACTACTAATAAGTTAATGCCGAGCTTCTCGTTCTTACATTCGAATTCTATTTCCAAATCGTTATTAGGTTCAGAATTTTCTTTATTTTTACGAAGCCCATAAATCTGGAAATGAGATTAGTAAAAATACTTGATCAAAATATTGACTAAACAGTACCACATCAACACTTACTAAATTTTCTCGACAAAAACTCGAGAATTCGTCGTTTTTAGCATCGCATGCATTGTCAATTATCTTATAATCTTCATTTTTAATTGGGGAAACATCATCTGGTTCCTTCTTCACTCTGCAATATTCCCAATAATATAAAGTATTATGCCATTTTTTTTTTTTAAATTTTATTCTCACGAAACAAAAATTACCTGACATCAGAGTTATATACATCACTGAAGTCCATGTTTATCACTCGGAACTTGATCAACGACTAATTGTTTTGTAATGATGTTACACATCGAGCTAAGTAACATAAGGGTAATAATATTTACAAATCGTGAAATGAAAGTTTGAGAAAATTTATGTCAACAGAGACACTCTAAACTTATCATTTATTATTGGAGAAATTATACTATTGATCTCATAATAAACAATTAGCCATTTTCTTTGAATTGTTATCTTATTACAAAGAAATTATAAATTATTGAACATTTCATGAATCGAGCTTATGATGTGTCCTATACTCCTTTTTGCATAATTTTTTTCGACGCGCAAAATATGAAACAAAGTTAACGTGAGCGAATGAAGGGTTTATATACATTTTTATATTACACTAACCGCAAATACGTGACTACAGTCGCATCTATATCATTTACCATTTTTACACAACGAGCGAATATCGTACATCTATGTAATCTATGTGTGATAAATATGCATGGTTAGTCATGTAGTCAAAATATATCTGTATATATTGTCACGTGGGCACACCGGGCCAGCTTAACGCGTACATACAGCTGTATATGTATTGGCATGCCATGTGCAAATTCCTTTGGTCGCAACGTTGTCAATACACGCTGAGCACAAAACATCGATAAGTGAAATCTATTTCGTTCCGTGCGAATTACGAAAACCTGCATTCATATATACCTATACTAATGTACATGTAGGGAACATCAAACTAAAAAATTCGCCCTATTTTTGTATTCTACTTCCATTTATACCAATAATAATTTTAACGGCTTTACCAAACTAGCTGACACAAAAAACTCATTGTAACGTTGATTTATTATGATACTCATTGAAGCTAATATTATTAATTTCATACGGCTGAAACAACTCTTATCATGATGTCGTATGCTATTTCGTTATTTACCATTCAGTCGCTCAGCATTTTGCAACTGTGATTGCCACTAGTAAATAACTTCCTGTTGCAACATTTGGTGATCATCAATGGGTTGTGTGCAGGACGGTTTATCTTTCCAAAATAAACAGTCATACGCGTTTGCACCATCTTCTGAATTCAACAGTTGTAATAAGATATCCTCTAAATCTCGATCGCTTTTGAATAAAGTTCTCTCTTCTTCGTTAGGGAGAAGAGGGAAAATTTCTAAATATCTTCCCATACATCTTACTCGAGAAATATCATTGTTCGTCGTATACTGCCATGGCTCAGCGCATTCGCAGTGAAATTGACACCTTAATATTTCCACGTTGACACGAGCATGCCCTTGGTAACTCGTCGATGAATTTATCAAGCTTCTCACATCCTCGCGCGACCAAACCCTGCCTCCGGATATACCACCTAAATTGCATCGAATTTAACACGAAGCTTTCGTATACATCGATTATCGGCCGCGGGCTCGTGTCACAATAGCATACGTACAAGCCGGACACTGGACGTGATAGTCTTGTCCGCGCAGACGACTCTGGTAGAGCTTGGCCAGCATCCGCTGGACGGCGACTTGCCTGAGCGCCGAGGCCGGGTAGCCGGTCAGGTCCGAGACGACGTCGAAGGCGCAATTCAGCGGGTGGCGGTCCAGATGGCGTGGCTCGCTGCCGTCGAGCAACGTGAAGTGGCCGCCTTGGTACTTCGGGCTGGCCGGCGGCGAGGCGAGCGCGAGATTCAGTCGGGGCTGCCGATGGTGACACCTGCCGAACAGCATCATACGGTCCTGGGCCCAGACGTCGATCGGGCGCCTCAGGAACATGCTCATCTCCTTGATGTGGCCGGTGGTCGCCGGCCCGTGGATGATCTACAGCACGGTCTCCCCGGAGATGGGTTTCATTTTTTTTAATTTTTTTTTTTCTATTTTTTTTTAAATTTAGTTTAAGTTGTACATTTTGGGCCGAAATTTTTCTTTGCTTGAGTAATAATTTTGACGTTGCCGAATGAAAGGTTAGAAAGCAATTACTCGCAATGACATGAATTTATTCACTTCCGATGCATATAAAAAGTTATGTTATATCATAAGAGAAATTTTCTCATTTTTATCAATTTTCGATATTTAAATAAATAGATATAACAATAACGTGAATTTTCAACCTGACTCAACTGTATTGAATGGGCGTAACGTGGACCTCTATTTTCGAGTTCCGCAGCATAATATAAAACCCATGCTGTTACCGTGTAGTAGATATATACGCGGGGGCAAATGAGAAAAAACCACGCAAGCTTTTACCGGAAATGTAATGAATGTTACGCGAGTCTGGGTCACTTTACTACTTTACTCTCTCTCTCTCTCTCTCTCACTCTCACTCGGCGTAGCGAGTACTTTAACGCAGTAGCTACTTTATGTGATAAATTTCTCGATCAAAGTGCGCACGCACGACATTTGCGAGCACCACACATACACACGTTCATATACACACACGTGTTACATCTAAATACACGTGTGCAGCCACAATGACGCAAAGAACAAAGAGTACATCGCGCAGCAGCGTGAAAGACCATTAGCTCGGCAGAGCATGTAAATGTAAATTAAAGCTGAATAAATTCCTCACTTTTAATTACGCGTAATTGTAAGGTCAATAATTTCCTTAAAATTACGGCCGGGGGCAATTTTTCAAGCCATAAAAGCCTCGGTGCAGCTCGGCATTTGTCTAATGAGTATTTTCGCTACGTTGAACTTTTGAATAACTGAAATATTTTTGTGAGCTTCGTTTAATGCGCGTCAAATTTGAGTATTTCTATAAAAAAAATGACGTATTTTTTCCCCTGAATCGACCATTAGGACTCCGACGAGAGACTGCTTTATTTTTAGTATTTTTTTGTGATATTTAAACGTAGATTCTCGTGCCCTGCATTTCAGCAAACACGCGACGATGTTGCTCGAGCGCGTACGCACACGAATTTCGAATTCTCAAAGATGCGAGTCTCGAGCGCGCATGTATACTCGTCAAACGTAAACAGTTGCTTCTTTCATGCACCGTCTGTATATGTAGTTCATTACTCTGATGCACGCGTATAGTTTGTTTGTTGTCTCTCTTTTAAAAAGGGCCAGACGCTTAGTTTCGCGAGTGATCTAAATATTTCCCATCATAGTGGTGCACTTTCATTTTAAAACGCGTCCGATTCATCGTCTGAAGAAGAAAAAAAACTCGTTTTAAATCATCGATGTTTTTGCGTACGTCGCGTGTAAGCTTCAAAGTGAGTTAAAACTCGCGAGAGCTCGAGATGGAACTTCAAAAACATGTACCTATATGTTTCTTCAAGTGTAAGAGTAGAGAAAAGCCACGTGTCCCAAATTGTTTTGCGCGACTCGATGTTATAATATAGACTACCCTCTCTCCCTCTCTTTCTCTCTCTGTGGCACGCGGCGCATCTCTTTCTCGTTAATTTTAGGCATCTCCTCGCGCCAGCAAAGTTAATGCAAATATAATTAGAAAGTTGACGCGCGGAATTCTAATTTGTATATCTTCATTCGCGGGAGTTTCTAATTTGTATTCGAGGCTGTAGCGGCATAATTAAAAGAACTCAATTATTTGGAATGATTTGCTTGCAAATGAAAGCGAGAGAAAAAAAAATTTATATAATATAAAACAAGCTCGCGTCAAGCGCGGCATCGGAAAATTTTTGATTACATGTTTAATAAAATAGGTAAGTACCGAGCGCGCCAACGTCCTCGTTGTAATGATATAATATTTTTACAGCATATTACGATGTACTTCATCTTGGGTCGGCGCGAAACGATCGGCAGTAAAAATAAAAATTAAACTTTGATATTTTTTCAAAATTTACTTTTCAAACTTTCTCTCGATTTTTTTTCCGTTCGACCTGCAAAATCGTGTGTAATATCTAGTTGAATCTGCAAGTATAAGTATTTCAAATTATAACGGAATTTAAAATTACTTTCACCCAGGCCTCCTGAATTTTCCGGATAAAATCTCGACCCGCTCCGACGTGCGGAAAATTCCACTAAGTGTTACATCTGCAAACACACGTACTATTATATAATATCTACATTCGTAACTAGCCCCAGCGATTCGCGCTGGCTCCTCCAGCAGCGACGTCAACTTTTCCGCGGTGGCATTTGAATGCGGGGTGTAAGAGGTCGCCTCCGCCCCGCGCAGACTGAGCGAGTTTACATCTCATCAAGTATACATTGAAAAAGTTCGAAAGCCGAGCGCCACAGTAACCTATTATGTTAATTGTGCCGTGTGTATCTACTGCAGCACCCGTGGCTCATTGACGCGACACGAGTCCACACCGTGTAGTGCTGCGTGCAGGTGTAGTACACGCGTCTCTTTCGAGTATTTGCGGCGATCTGCGCGGGTGGCAGTGCCCGGCCACCGCCACCACCGCATGAATGCAAGTCATTAACGTACTTAAAACTAACTATCATCCACGCGTTGAATTTCGTGAAAGCCCTTCGATGTCGTATACGCTGTGCGAGGGGCGGAGGGCAGACAAAAGGCCGACTGAAACCGACTGTAGAACATTTATATATAAATATATACATTCAGCAGGCGCACACTTCGTTCGCGTCTGGAATCGCTAAGCAAGCACTAGTGGTCGTAATTACAAAACGGCTCTTCCTGTAGTTCTGCCTCACTCTCTCTTTTCTTCGGTCTGCACCTGAGACTACACGAGAGAAGTACAGGAAAACGGAATGGCTTTGTGCACAGTAAAATCGCACGAGTAATTGTAGAGCGAGCGCAATATTACAAAGCCGCGTGCGCGCGACGTCGAATTCGCATACATTGGCTGAACAAAAAAAAAAATAAAAGAAAATTCTCTGCCTCCTTGTTTCGTAATTACCTAAGATTTTTTGGCTCGAGATTATTTGTAATTTTCCTCCAGGAGCTGCGAGATAAGTGCGTGTGCACCCAAACCTTCTTTCTTTTTCTCTGTGTATAAAAGATATTGGGATTATTTTTACGTGGATAATTTTACAGCGAGTAAAACTTTGTTATGCGAGACACGTAGAGGCGAAAGGAGAACTCCGTTTTTCCTTTCTTTGTCGCGCGGTATGCATATGAATGCGGGCTTGGGTTTCTTTTTTTTGTTGTAATAGT